AAAAATCTGATATACTTGTTTAGTTATCTTAGCTATTCACAAGTCCTGAGGAGATAATAGATTGTTATTGTTTTTCATACATATATTCCACCCTTATTTTTTTCGTCATATCACATTCAACCATGTATATGTCATTGCTCTTATGTTATGCTGTCTGGTTACTTTGGAGTTTCAGAACTATGAAAACTTTCACCAAATTGGATCTTCTTTGCCACCAAAAGGTAGCAGAGAGGTCATTACTTTTGATCAAAACTGCTGATTGCTTAATGGATGATTGTGATTCATTCAAATTGAAGTACTTCACATATATATCTTCTGTATATTGCGCTCATTTTCACTTTTCGCTCCAGATAAATCACAGTCAACTATAGATGATCGCGATGGAAGTCACATTAGGAACAAATCAGAGTTGTTAAAATACTATTACACATTTTTTAATGAGGAATTTGGAGGAAAAGACCCTAGCCATTGTTGATGACAATGGAGAGTATCCAAATTTATGTTTCCTCGCGGCGACATTGAAGGTGATCCAAATTCATGTTTCCTTTAGCTTGTTGTCATAAAGTTCAGCCTCTCAAATTTTCCATTCTAGACTTTTATGATAATGAACAAAACTCATAATTTTCAAACAGTATATTCCGAAGTATTGAAAAAGGTACAAGACTCTCTTTATCGATATCTCAAGTTATCTACCTCCATAATCCAACATCCCCATAAAAAAAACAAACAAATGAACGAAAATCCCCCAAGAATTACGATTTCCTCTCCCTAATCCTTTATCTCTTCAAACAAAAAGGTCCAAAAGAAAAAGGGAAAAAAAAAGAAAATGGGGAAAAAATATCTACGAAAAATATCCCTTAAAAAAAAATCATCTAATGCATCCTGCCCTCCTCAGACAAAGGACGCAAACCTGGAATATAAGGCACCCCAGTCTTGGAGCCAGAGAAATTGCAAAGCAGTGATTATATATATTAGTGACAAAGTAAATGAAACTTCAAATTTTGATAAGATAATTACACAAATGACATAACTTATGCAATCATTTTGGTACAATTTCATACTTTATGTTTATTATAAGGCCTCCTTTGTATTGTATACTGCTCAAGGAATAGCCAGTATCATGGCCAAGCTAGAGAAGCATATCCAAATGGTCGTTATACATGCCCCCCCCCCACCCCACCCCCCACCCACCCAAAAAAAAAAACATTTGAGCGGGTTTCCTGTTCCACATTCGCACTAGTTTGCGGTCCGTGCAAAGCACGGTATTTTTGCTACAGTAATCCCGCTTTTTTTAATATGTATGATTTGAATTTTTGGAAGTATTACAGTATCCACTCTGCTACAGTACCTTTTAAATGCTACAGTATGCCCGTGTGCTACAGTACTATTTTTATTAATTACCAGCTACAGTAATAATGCTACAGTAAATACTGGTGTAGCATTTACTGTAGCATGAACAGTGAATCTCTGATCCTCCTATTTGTATAAAGGAATAGATATGGGGTTGCTTTGTTACCATGTCCAAGATTCCGGCCACTACACTAAAAAACTCCGAAAAGTTCCAAGTGTTCTAGAGTTTTTTTTTTTTGTTTTGTTTTACAACAAAATAAGTAAACCTGTTCAACATAATTACATAAGCTCATCTTATGTTTAAGATACTGCCATCACTCAATGAGAACAAAATAAAAATAAAAATCTTCATCCAGACATTCTAACATTTGTTTCAAGACCAAGATCCACAAAGACAACATCTTTTATTTTAAGGAACCCATGACCATAATCAATCACATCATTCTTCCTACGTTCAAACTCCAAACACCATACAACGACACGCATAGCATAAACACCTAAAAACCCTCACTTCTAACACATCAAGACTCATTTCCATCGCAAGTCTTGCGCGTCGAAAGCTAATGTCTTGAGCATTATTCAATCCTAGGCCGACAACATGTCATGGTTTAGGCATAGGCAGCAGGATTGGCCAAGAGGTAAGCCTCGACAGCCTTGAACTGTCCGATCTCTTGCTCCCTCATCATCTGCACGTCTTCCTCGGTGAACTCTACTCCCGGAATGGTGCTGAACTCTGCGGCAGTCTTGTAAACGCAACCTCCATCAGATGAGGGGACAATCTTGAGCACAAAAGATCCAGATTTGATCTTCTTGGCGGTATCTGCAGCATCGGGCCTGAGAACAGCGTCGAACAGAGTGTAGTGACACTCTAAGTTATCTCTGTCCAAGACGTCGATGCTCTCCTTTACACACTCCCATGGAAATGCTGCAGTCGAAGAAATTGCTAATTACCATGTCTTGTTCAGTTTCTTCTTACAGATACGGATGCAAGCACGGATGTTCGTTGAACATGAACTCATAAGATTTGGGTTATGTTTACATATTGTCGGATATTAACCTCGAGTGAACTGGTTTTTTCTTTACTCTTTTACTCTCTGGGGGTCTATTTGTCGGTGAATAATTTTCTCCTCTGAGGGTGAAGCAGTCAGAAAAGTTCACTCAGGGGGGTCTCTTCACAGCTGGGTGATAGGACAGTGGGTCTATATATCCGCGATTAACCCTTTAGTATATCTTTCATATGACCAGATTAAAAGTATATACAGTATGAGCTTAACTTTCTTTAACGAAGATATCAAACTATACAATACTTGACACTCTTAATATATATGTGTGTGTGCACGCGCGCGTGCTCGCGTGTGACTATTTGTGCCTGTACAGAATGTATTCATAATGTCAGATAGATTTACCACTCTGTATCTGTATTTTAAACGAATATCATTTATGGGTATCTGTATTGAAAACTGGATACATAATCGGAGACATAACCAGATGCCAACTAACCTTCAGTGAAACTCATCTGCTTAATTGTACCAACACCTCCGTCACCTTCAACTATCTTAGCTCCGGCAATCATTTCAGGCATAATTTTTTGACCGAGGTTGTGCATGTCAACGGCCACAGCCTCGAACATTCTCGCTGGAGCGACCTTGGTCGCGAGCTCTTCCGTGTAGCCCAAGCCCATTGTTGTCTCAAGAGGAAATAGAATTCTGAGAAAGGTGTTAGTTTGTGACGCAGGAGCTGTATTGTGATTCTGTGAAGTGAGGATGATGAGAGATTTATAGATCAAGTTACTCTGAAGTTGTCAAAAGTGTAGTGCTAGACTTTTCTTTGTTCAAACTATAAGGAACATAGAAGAGCATAAGATACTTGACTGAAGAAAAGTAAGAGGCAATAATTACCTCAACATCACTTTCCTACCTACATGCACACATATTCTACATTCTGATATACTTGTTTAGTTCTCTTACCTATTCATGAGTCCTGATAGAGATTAGTTATTCCTTGAGGACATCATACATCTCTCTAGATGGGTTGATCACATTTATACATTCTTATTGTTTTTCATATATGTAGTTCACCCTCATTTTTTTTATCATATCAAGCTCAACCAATTATCTGCATTGCTCTATTTTTATGTTTTCTCTATATGATTGGTTACTTTACACTACCCACAAGCAGCGGAGATAATTACTTTTGATCACAATCACCCGTTGCTTAATGGACCGTTGTGATCCATTCAAATTGCAGTGCTTAACTCCCCTGTATTGCGCTCATTTTCGCCTGTCACTCGGGATGAATCATGGCCATCGACAATAGATGACTATGATCAAGTCATGTTAGGAACAAATCAGAATTGTTAAAATGCTACTAGATGAGGAAATGTGAGGAAATAACCCTAACCATTATCGATGACAACAGAGAATCCAAATTCATGTTTCCTGTGGTCTGTTGTCATAAAGTTCAGCCTTTTATATTTTCCATTCTAGACTTATGATCCAAAACAAAACTTATAATTTGCAAACAGTATACTCCAAAGTATTGAGAAATACATGACCCTCTTTATCGACATTTCAAATTGTCTACATCTACAATCCAATATCTCCATAAAACAAACAAACAGAAAGAAAAAAGAAAAAAAATGCCCCCCTATAATTACAATTTCTTTTTCCTAATCTTCATCTCTTCAAACAAAAATCACCTGAAAAGGTGAGGGGGAAAAAACGATCTAAAAACACCTGTAAAAATCACCTAATGCATCCTGCCCTCCTCAGACAAAGGAAGTAAACATGGAGTATAAGGCACCCCAGTCTCCTTCACCCAGTCATTCCCCTGGAGGAAATACTCCACAGTATATCTCTGTGCATGCTCATAATCAATGTTTTTAATCCCTTTCCCTTTGACCCTCCCTTCTTTACTCGAACCCGGTCCTCTACTATCGAACTCCATATACAAACACGTCTATAATCCAAATTCCCCCTCCCAAGGCAGCCAGCCCTCTGGAGAGATAAACTCCGCAATCTCCGACTGCATTATCACCGTTCTTGAGAACTCCTTCCATGGCCGGCCCACATATGACCTCGTATTCGTTGTGAACTACTCAGTATCAGCCCTGATCATGCAGTTGTGTAGGACAATGCCAGACGCCTCTCGCCTTTCTTTGCGTCCCTGTGCAGTGACAATGGTTTGTTGGTTGTCCATGGGCTTGCGAATGACAAAGGTGCAGTTTTGGAAGAGGAAGGCTGCGTCACCAAATATGAAGTCGATGGTGCCTGAGATTGTGCAGTTGCGGTAGAACTGGCGCTTGGTGTGCGCATGGAGCGCGTCCTGGTATCCGTCCATGTGGCAGTTGTAGAATACAGAGCGGACAGATTGGGCCCTGAGGCCAACGGCCTGGTGCTTTTCGGGACCGGCAGTGTTCTCGAACCCCATGTCCTTGGCAATGAATCCGTCAGCGACGATGGCTGTGAAGATGAGAAGTATGGTCAGATACCAGTTTAAAGAAATAGGTCAATTAGAAGCATCCATTGACACATTCTCCCTATCTCTATTGTGAAATTGACATTTTAGAAAATCAGCAGGTATCAGTATCACTGAAAGTGAAAGATAAGTTTTTTAAACATTCATCAGCTTAATAATGTATTTTCCTAAAAGTTTTCTATAAAAATCTGATCATATATCTTTTCTAACCCCTAAATGCTATAACTTAGACGTTAATTTGAAGTCATGATCAGATAGAATTTCATATGAAAAATAATTAGCTTAAGTTTTTTGACCTGGCCTATATCAGTCCTTTTGACAAAGCAATTAATGCTTCTGGTCAAATTGAAAGCTAAATTCTTCTACGATCAATAATTTAATAATAAGGGGGAAAACAGTTTATTTGTAGTTTTTATCATCAAAGTCTTACTAAATGCCAGTAGATATCCGCATCAACTATTACTGTAATCCCATCAAATGTATTATCAAAGCAATAGCTCAATATTTTCTGCCAGGCAATAAAAAAAAACTAGCACAGACTTTGCATCGAAAGTTTTTGAAAGCATAATTCTCAAGCCAATCAATGCTTTGGCTTGTGAATTGCTGTCAATAACATATTTTCAGTCTGCGATGTATTGTCTATAACTGTAAACCTTTCAAGTTTGTTGATATCAGATCAATTGCTATATATTTCCTGCATGTAATGGAAAAAGGTGCACAGATTGAAAATTTTACATGGAAAATTTCCGATATCATAGTTCTTAATGCTCATGAAAGCTTTGTTATGTGAATTCCTATCCAAACCTGATCTCTTTAGCATATGAAGCTTTGTCTATCTACAATTGACAAGTTTATTGCAGAACTCGTGCCTATATTTTTCTTGACTGGTGAGGAAAGACTTGCATAGATTGAAAATTTTGCATGGAGAGTACTGTTTGGGGAGTCGATAAGTTAATTCCTATGGATGTCTATTTGCCGGGCTGTATTGATATAAACCTGTCAATTTTATTATCAGATCACAATGCCTATATTTCTTCCTGATAGGTAATTTAAAAGCCGTGTATAGAGAAAACTTTGCATCAAAAATTTGTATCACCATAGTTCCTAATGCATGTCAAAGCTTTGGTTGAGCTACTATCCAAAATTTTAGCCTATGAAGCATCCTCTATCCTCTATAGCTGTAAACCTGTCCACTTTACTATCATCAGATCAGCAACAACAATTTTCCTGGAAGTTGACTGTAAAAATCACAAATATACATAAAAAAAGGTCGTATCAAAAGTTGCAGTCCTGAATGTTGGTGTGCCATCGACATAGTTCAAGCTCCCAGTGATCCTCGTCTTTGTTGGTCCATCCCCATACATTGTCAAATTTGTCAGAGATTTTCCCACAATTACATTCTCCATGTAAACTCCTTTCTTGACATAGATCACAAAAGCTTCGTCAATCTTCTTGCTCACATGCTCAAACGCCTGGCCAATGTTCTTGTAGTCTCCACTCCTATCCTAATCCATGACTAAATCTGGCTTCGGATTGCCTTTGGATTCAGGAAGCATTCTCTTCGTCGGATTGACCCAAGACGGACCCTCCTCCTCCGATGAGAGCAACCTACTGCTAAAGGATGGAAGCTTGAAGGAGGTCAGACCCTTCGAGATACTATCGATTATGGCCAGGCAGTTGCTAGTGAGCTGCGCACAGCTCTGCAGCGCCTTCTTCATATCCTTTGCAGCATCTGCAGAGGCATTCTCGAACCCATCAAGGCAAGTTTCTTGGTCTTTAACAACTGCACTGAGCCATATTTTCAGGTCATCAATAGTATTGTCGAGCTTGGTTATGTCTAAAATTTCAATGCGATCAATGCAGTTTCTGAGATCGTCTCTGGCATAATCAAACAGCTCCCTACAATCTTTCAGTGCCTTGGACATGCGAGGATCCTTCTCGGCAGCCAGCAGGGTTTCAGACTTCTTAAGCGCGCTGCGAATGTGCTCAATGGTGACACTGAATGCTATCTGGATGAGTTTATTTGGGTCAGTCGTGTTTCCGGCCGCCTGCATCAGCGAGCTCTCTCACTGCTCCTGGTAATCGGTGGGCTGGCATACTGCACTGTATGGACTTCATGGATGCCTGGATTTCATTAGAGGAATCAGAGTGGGATGAGTGACGATTAGTGGTAACGACAGTGGTGACCGTGGCCGCCATGGCGAGGAGGAATAATGAGGAGGCGCCAATGGCAGCAATCTTCTTCTTCTTCTTGGCAGACTCCTCGGCTACATTGGCCTTGGCTATCGCTGACATTATGAGCCTGAATTTTTGGGGTTTGCTTGTTGGATTGTCCTTAGGTTTTTCTCAATTGAAGGGATGGTTGCATACACGGCTAAAATTGTTGAGAGGGAAGAGGGAAGATTTAAACTTGAGAAGAGGACAAAATAAGGTGTGGTTGCTGTGGGATCCTGGGACAGGGGGTTACCACAAGACAATATAGAGATTCGTTGTTCAGGTTCCTAATTTTGGCGGGAAGGGACTTGTGGTCAATCTTGAGCTTGAGGGTCAAGAGTATTCCTTATCTGGTATGCAAGTTTGATTTTAAGTAACGTACTGGTTTCTGTTGTGAGATTTATGTGTTTCTTCTTATTAGTTCCATTCTTTATTTGAAAATATCAAATACCTAATTATCAACATAAGAATTATAAGAAGATTATCAGAAACCTTGCTGCAACTAAATATAAATACCTCTACACGATCAATGAGAAAGGGTTTCATTTGCTTCAAGTTATCACCACTATCAAGCATCTTAAGGCATGTTTGGCAACTTGGCCAAAGTGGGTTCTAATCCATTTTTTGGGTTATATTCCATTTTCTGCATGTTTGATAACCACATTCTGAGTGTATTGTTTCGGATTATAATTCACCAAAAAATATCCTAGGGTTCCTATATTATTTTTTGGTTGATTAGTGGATTATATAAAGCCTATGTTGAGTTGAGAGGAGTGGTGGACACTAAGAAATATATTGTTATTATTTTTTTAGTGGTACAAACACACTATACTCTCAAATATAAATATTCTCTGTGTGTGTGTTACTGTGATGGATCTAACACAAACACTTGGGGGTTATTTATAACATTGGTTTAGGGGTAAGTAAACACTATTAAGGGGTTGTTGATTACTATTGCAAGTTAGGTGGAGATGTTAGGTGGGGTGGGGAGCTGTTGACTTCTAACACTCCCCCTCAACAGCGACTTCTCTATCCACAAGTCCAAAAATTCTAACATCATTTTCAATGCTTGGATTTCCTCTCTCACTGCTTGTCTCCATTCTTTACTCTCGTATGTTTCTTTGAAGGTAGATGACTCCTTCACATCTTTCATAATGGTCACATTAGCATATATGAGATTTGGCTTCCTGGGTCTGGTTGATCTTCGAAGTTGTTCAGGTAGTTCTTCTTCGATATTCTCTATCTGGCTTGGGTGCTCTTCTTCCGACGTTGTCTGATAAACACCAGTTTTTCATAGATTATTCTTCTTTGAGAATGTTGAAGAGATTGATTGTGTCTTCTCTGATTGATGTAGTCCTTCTTCTTGATCTGGCTCCCCCAGCTTCTTCTGCAACTGATCCTCTAGATCACTAGAGTCTGGAGTGCAACTTCTTGTGAAGCCTACCAAGATGAGGCTTCGTCAAACACAACATTCCTTGATGTGTAGCACCGTTCGGTTGTGGGATCACAACATCTCCATCAATTTCTTTTATTGTCATATCCCACAAATATACATCTTACAACTTTTTTATTGAATTTGCTGCATAAGGGATCAAGCACAAAGACATAACATTCACAACTGAAGACTCTGAAATGGCTTATGGTTGGGTTTGTATTCCACAACTTCTGAAAGGACGACATGAACTCTAGCTTCGATTGTGATAGCCGATTGATCACGTGTGTCACAGTCTTCATACACTCGGCCCAAAAACGTCCTGACACGTTCTTGGCATGAAGCATGCTTCTGCAAATTTCAGCGAGGTGACGATTCTTTTTTTTGGCTACGTCATTCTGTTATGGAGTATTTGGGCACATTAGCTGTCGTCGAATCTTGTGTTGCTTCAGGTAGTCGTAAAACTCATTCGATGTGTACTCTCCCCCATTGTCTGTGCGTAGGCAACAAATCTTCTTGCCGAGTTCTCCTTCGACTTCTTCTCGAAATTGCTTGAATTTGAAAAGTGCTTCAGACTTTTCCTTCATAAAATCAACCCAGACATACCTTAAGTAATCGTTGATAAAAGTGATCATATACCGCATCCCACCAATTGATTCTTGCTTTACTCGACTAAATACATCTGAGTGTACAAGATCCAAAGGTTACTTGGCTCTGAACTGTGACTCCTGATACGATAATTGATGTGTCTTACCGTACTGACAACCTCCGCATACTGTCCCTCCTCGAGTATCCAAGTGTGAAAACCCTTCAACATTGACTTTTTCATCATGATCTTAAGCTTGTGATAGCTCACATGGTCAAACCGAGCATGCCACAAATCAGCCGTCTTATTTTTCCTAGCCCTGTCTACATATGCCGATTCCGCTAACATCACATAGACATATTCTACCTTCCATCCCTCCATGACAGATTCTCCTAGTGGCTTCAAGTTTCGATAGACTTTTACATATTGTAGCCCAAAAACTACATAGTTTCCAGAAGCTGTTAATTGGGGAACAAATAGATGGTTCTTTTTCATACCCGGTACATGGTATACATCTTGTAGTTGTATCCGATTCGGGTTGTAGCATGGTGTAAATACAGTGTTTCTAATGTGTGTGATAGGTAATCTTGTATTATTCGCTATCACAACTTCTCGGTAGCCTTTATACTCCTTCATGTTGACAAGTTTTTCCTTATCTCCCATCATGTGGTTGGAACAGCTAGAATCGACGATACAATCTTTATTATAGCTGATTTCTTCTCGATTTGAAACCGCTGTAAATGCGAATTCGGATTCTTCTACAATTATGGTTAGTGTCATACCAACAACCTCGTCTTCGTCGACTGGTACATCTTTAATGATGGCCACGGATGCTTGAGCATCCCATTCTTCTTCATCATCTTGACATCTGCGCGATGATGCAGTATTGCCCTCTGCTTCTCTTGTAATGGTAGTTTCTGACAAACTATCCTTTCTTCCCACAGTTGTAACAGCTACTGTTAGGTCTCCTTGTTTGACGATCACCTTGCTCCTCATGCTGTTGTGTTCTGTCGTTGTATGGCCATCCTAGTTGCCTCCTTGAACCAGTCTTTTCATACTCCTCTTTCCTCGCGCCTCTTGACTTGCCTCTCTCCTTGCTGAAGAGTGCTTCATCTTCGCATTTTATTAAAACGCCAACCATTTGTTTGGCTGGAGTTTCCTGTGTAGCGAGCAAACTCTCTAACTCTAATAATGTTGGTTGAATCGGCCACCTGTGTGTAGCAGCAACGAGTCCGTGATATTCCGGTCTTAAATCGTGGATGATTATTCTCCTCATTCTTGTATCGAATACTTTGGAATCTAGATCTAGTTAAGCAATATCTTAACAAAATGATTTTACTTGCTTGAAGTACTGATTGGTTGTCAGATCATTCGAGCATCGTTTTTTTAGAAAATCATCGTGAGGGTATCTCATGCCTCATTCGGAGTTCTATCATCTCGCATATAGTCTACGAAATCTTCTTCTATTGTCGTCTTCAGCATATACATAGCCTTGTCGGCTTTGATGTTCCACTTTCTTAGTGCTTCACCAGCTTCACGAGGTGCTGTAGTTTCAGCACCCCTGATGACCTCCCAGAGGTCTTGTCATTATAAATAGAACTTCATACATGTCTCCCAGTAGTTATAGTTATTACCGTTGAGTTTTTTTAGTATAGTAGTCGTATTTGCCAGATCCGTCATCGTGACGTTGTATTGCTTCAATACCTCCACGCAAATATGGTCCCTTACCAACCAACTTCACCGTCCCAGACTGAACACGAACTTCAACGTTCAAGAATGCCGATAGGATCACTGTAGGAGAGAGCAGGTCCCTGACCGTCTTGCTTCTATCACGAGCTACAACTTCTACTATTTTACGTGAACAACAACTGTATTCGTTAATAGTAACCGTACTTATGAATAGTACCATACTCGTAAATAATACTCAGTGCTTTCAAAGGGTAAATGATAATCTAACTTATTTTCTGATGTGAAGGATCCATCTTTAGTGGCAGCCACAGAGCATACGATAAGCAGATACGCGCACCATAAACTGGGCCAGCCACAGAGCATACGATAAGCAGATACGCGCACCATAAACTAGACTCTAATACCACTTGTTGAGTTGAGAGGAGTGGTGGACACTAAGACATATATTATTATTATTATTTCTTTAGTGGTACAAACACACTATACTCCCAGATATAAATATTCTTTCTCTCTCTCTTTCTCTTTCTGCTACTGGGATGGATCTAACACAAACACTTGGGGGTTATTTATAACTTTGGTTTAGAGGTAGGTAAACACTATTAAGGGGTTGTTGATTACTGTTGCAAGTTAGGTGGGGGTTTAGGTTGGGTAGGGAGCTGTTGACTTCTAACAGCCTATTGTCAAATGACCATGATGCTGCAGTTGCACTAAAACTCTAAGGTTGAAGTGAAGGATGCAGATTATAATGTTGTACTCTAACATTCTCCCAGCAGGTTGAGTGTCCTTTTTATGGGTCGAAACCTGAATTCACACAGGCCGTAACAATATCACTTTTTAAAATCCACTTTAAATTCATGGCCAGTGGAACTTGAACCTTGGTTGCTCTGTACCATGTCAAATGACATCGCCACTGCACCAAAACTCCGAAGTTGTAATGTGGATTGATGATTGTAATTTTATACTCTAATAGTCATATCTTAGGTTAACGAGAAATTATGCGTCCGTTGTAGTCATGTTTCATTTCTTGGTTGCTGGTCACGGTAGATTGATATTAGCTCAAGATGTTGAAAATATTAAGAAAGTATAGTATTATCTTGAAGAATATTTTCAGACTCAATACTTCCAGACCTAAT